TATATATATGATATTTTGTGTGTGTGAACGAAAATTAATTATATTTTGCATATATATATATATATATATATATATATATATATATATATATATATATATATATATGTATGTATATGTGTGCGTTGTATGAGAGCATCACATATTTGTGACCGATATTTTCTTCATAAGATAAACGTCGTTTTATTCTGTTCAGTCGTCGAATTGTTTTATTGACTACAACTGAGAAGTGATAGTGATTTTCCAGTAACTTTTTAGATAACACAAGACCGAAAGTAGGGGCACCCAGTGAGAATCGAACTCACTAAAAATGCGAGTTGTTGAAGGCGATTTTTGCTAACCATTACAACGCGAAAAATCAATTTACAAAAAATGATATGTCGCATCCGTGACATCTAAAATTATTGGACGCTCTCCCGACTACACTTGTATATCGCCGCAAAAGTAGGTTAATTTATACCGCGTCTCACGGAAGAATAGCAGCGAATGCCGTAACTGCGTACAAATCATTTTATTCGATACCAATGCTTATTTGCATATGTATATGTATAAAAACAAAGACGCTCACGCTGTACTAACGGGAAAATATGTAGTTTAACGTTTCTTTCAATATTATCTGCGTTAGGTTAATGAGAATATTAAATATTTGATAAAATGAGATTTCTAGCATAACATATGGACCCTCGCCTGTCCTCATTACATATGAATGTGTATCAAGAATTCTGTAGCCTTTCATGGATATTAATGGCTGAAATCTGAGCTGAATATTATTAAGGTAATTAAGTGCATTGACAAGAAGGAAATTATTTCTTTCAATCTAATATATAGTAGATTTTAAAAATAAATGTTTTATTTTCATCGTTAGGCTAGGAACCTGCTATTGATGTAGGTAAGTGTACTCAAGTGTGTGTATGTGTGTCTTTTTTGTGAAAATGAATAATTATGAATTAAAAGTGAAGAAGGAGGTATATACAAATTATATATATATATATATATATATATATATATATATATATATATATATTTATATATATATATATATATAATTTTCAGTAGACTAAAACAACTTTATCTGTTTATCGTTACATTTGAGTGCTCATAGGAAAAACATTTTGTCTTGCATCTAAAAAATTAATTATAATGGAACCCATAAAATAAACCTATACATTCATATATATATATATATATATATATATATATATATATATATATATATATATGTTTAGATATAGAGAGTCAAAAATGTATACATTTTTTAGTTTTAAATTTAATTCAGATGTATAATTTAATTCATATATATATATATATATATATATATATATATATATGTGTGTATATGTGTGTGTGTGTGTGTGTGTGTGTACATTTCATTGAATACGACAAACAAGGTGCTTTTATTTAGTTTTTTATACAATTTCTCATGCCATCGAATTTTTTTTTCATTTTCAGAGGATACGATCGAATAATAATATACCTGATACCTGAAAGAATATGTATATATATATATATATATATATATATGTATGTATGTATGTATTTATATGTATGTATGTATGTATTTAGTATATTGGGGCAGAAAATCATTATTCAAGCATATATTGTTAAATATAAGAGAAAACGTTGCTTTAATTTCAGATATTGGAAGACAACTATATTAAAGCAAAGCAACCCACACTCAACAAATTTACATTTCAAACTAGTCACAACACATTACAATGCATCTAAGTATATGGTTCTATTGTTAATATTTTGTTTTCTCGCATTCTACGGCGTCATAGAACCGCATCACGAATTTACGACCTGCGTCAGCTATTCCACGACCGTTATCCTCGCATAACAGATGTCTATGACAACATAACAGAATATCATCTTTGAGGGTGAATATCTTTGTTAAAATGTCCATATAACCATTCTGAAGATGGCTCATGTGAGCTTAGATCAATGAACAGCATAACTAAAAAAATATCTAAATATTGGACAGATATTCTGTCTTTATTTTCTCCCGAAATTAAAGCAATTATACGAATCTTAGAACGGCTCATGATCAAATATAATACACATTCGTTGTCTGTTATATTTTATAAAATATCTATTTTACAGGTTATTTAATGTCAGGAAAAAAATGTTTACATTGTAAGAATTTTCGGGAAGATAATAATAATTTTCTCATCCAAGTCCTACTAATTATCTTATAGCTGGGGGTGGAGATGAGGTCACTTTATACCTTCCCCAAGGGTTCCGTCGCGTAAGTGACTACAACAAATCCGACTGGAATTTGAACTCGGTACGCCGATTCCCAGTTCCGAGCCATTATCCTTTACACCATTCGCACATCTTTCAGGAGCGGATACTGCCACCCATCTTGGTATTGACCAGGCGCGGCATTGCTCAACTTCGTTCATTGTGCGAGAACCTGTGTTTCAACATGATATTGTCGTAAAGATAGATAGATAGATAGATAGATAGATAGATAGATAGATAGATAGAATAAGAATGAAATAGATAGATAGATAGATAGATAGATAGATAGATAGATAGATAGATAGATAGATAGAATGAGAATGAAATAGATAAAATGAGAATGGGATAGATAGATAGATAGATAGATAGATAGATAGATAGATAGAAAGAATGAGAATGAAATAGATAAAATGAGAATGGGATAGAGAATGGGATAGATAGATAGATAGATAGATAGATAGATAGATAGAGGTGTATGTATATTAGGGTTTTCTTTCTCACATCAGATAGAGCGTGAGAGAGAGAGAGAGAGTGAGAGAGAAAGAAAGGTTGGCAGACAGAGGTATAGACCTATTCTAACTTAAAAGAAATAAACCAATAAAGAATCCATAATCACGATATATAGTCAGATAAATTATTTCAATCATCTTAAATTCCACTATCATTTTTTTTAATTCTCATATAGAACGATTATATTTATTTATTTATTTATTATTTTTTGTATTTTCAATATTCAATTTGCGAAACAATTCCCCCAATAAATGGTCTCCTCCATCTACATCCGTCGGTCGGTCTGTCTGTCAGTATTTCTTTCTCTCTGTCTGTCTGTTTCAAAGATTCGTACATGTTCTCAGTGTAATGTCATACGCGTCCTTATATAACATCCTCGCTTACAAAGAACTGGGTTACTTCCCACCCACTCTCCAACGCCCCCAAACCCCCACCACCAACACTACCACCACCACCACCACCACTGACAATTTTCCTCCCACTACTACTACTACTACCACTACTACTACTACTACTCTCTGCCACTTTCAGGCAGAACAGTTTTTGATTCAGCACGTGATTTCGAATTGAAAAATTTTGTAACCATTATTTATTTTCTCTTCTTAAAAAGATTTTTATCTCATTAACTTTTCTTTCTTTTTTTTATTTTATTTTATTTTATTTTTGTTGTTGTTGTTTTGTTTCGTTTTTCGTCTCTCCGTTTTCCTGCTTTCTTTTATTTTTATTTCTTTTCTTACGTTTCTCTTTCTCTTTGCATGTCTCTTTCATTCTATCTTTTTTCTCTGTTTATTCCCGCACCCCTCTCCCTCTCTCTCTATTTCTGTCTCTCTCTTTCTGTCTCTCTCTCTCTCTCTCTATATATATATATATATTACACGATTTTACACTTTCTCTTCTCTCCATATTTCTTCTTTCTACTTCCCCCTCTCTGTTTTTATACCTTGCTTAATTTCGTTTGTTCTATTTTCTGCTTTCCTCTTTTTCTTTCTTTTTTGTATCCCTCCCCTTTCTCATTCCTAGTCGCTTTTTTATCCATGTTTTTTTATTTATTTATTTATTTATTTAACCCCCCCTCTCTCACTCTCTTTCTCTTTTCCTCTGTTTATTCTCTCCTCTTTCTTTTTCTTTCTCTCTGCCTATATATATGGCAAACTAACAGACTTCCACTTTCACTTTCACTTTCTCTCCAGTTTCTTCTTTCTGTTCCTCCTCTCTATATTTCTTTCTTGCTTAAATTCGATTATTCTGTTTTCTCCTGTCCTCTTTTTCTTTCTTTTCTTAAATATCTTTTTTCCTTCTTCCATTCACTTCATTTTATCAGTCTCTTTTTTCTCTGTTTATTGGACATTCTATCTTTCTCTCACCTTCTCTATCTATCTATCTATCTATCTATCTATCTATCTATATATATATATATATATATATATATATATATATATATATATATATATACATCACGCTTCCACTGCTTTTCTCTCAATCTTTCTTCTTTTTTACTCATTTCTCTACTTTTGCTGCCTTGCTGAATTTCGATTTGTTCCGTTTTATAATTTTCGTTCTCTCATTTGCCTTCCTTTTCAGTCTGTTTCTATCTCTATCTCTCAATCAGTATCTATCTATCTATCTATCTATCATCTATCTATCTATCTATCTATCTATCTATTTCAGTATGTTCACTATCTATCTATCTATCTATCTATTCCATTCTGTTTCCATTTATCTATTTATGTATTGATTTGTCTCTGTTCGTATCATCTCTCTCTCTCTCTCTCTCTCTCTATATATATATATATATATATATATATATATATATATATATACCAATTTCTCAAAACCCATTTTTCTGTCTTTCTTCAATATTCTTGACTTCGTTCTTTTCTTTATCTTTCAGTTCTTTGATTTCTACTTTCTGATTGTCTCTCAAATCCGTTCACTCTCTACATTGTTTCTCGACAGTCTCTTTCTACACCTTCTCTTTTATTACTTGTATTTCTGCATCCTTTCTCGCTCATCCCTCTCTCTCTCGCTCTCGCTCTCTCTCTCTCACACACACACGATATATATATATATATATATATATATATATATATATATGTGTGTGTGTGTGTGTGTGTGTATGTATGTATGTGTGTGGAGAGAGAGAGAGAGAGAGAGAGAGAGAGAGAGAGAGTGGTATCTATGATGTTCTTTTTTTGTCTTTTTTTTCCCCATTATCTGTTTTGTTTTATTTTTTATTCTTTCCTTCTCCATACAATAAAACAATAATTTTTTCTTTTTTTTTCTTATCTTTTTCTTCGTTTTTTTTTTTTTTTTTTTTTTTTTTTACCTTTACATTTCTCTGTCACAATTCCCCATGGCTTATTTTTTAATTTGCGATTACATTTTAATTTTCACTATTTTGTTTCTATTGCAGTTACTTCTTCTTCCTTACTCTGAATCTATCTATCTATCTATCTATCTATCTATCTATCTATCTATCTATGTTCTAGTTTGTTCACATAGGCACCTATCCCCGGCGTTATTGTCTATTTTGAATCTTTCCACTTCTTTTTCATCGAATTTCTACTATTCTTTAACTTCTTCTCTTCGTCTTTCTTCTCACGAATTTATACTCTTTCTTTTCTCTCCTATTTAATTCTTCTCTTTCTTTTATTTCCACTTTTCCCTTCTTTTTTTTTATTATTCTTTCTCACTTTCTTGCTTCCGTTCTTTCTTTCTCTCTTTATTTTTTTTATCTTTTTTAAGTTTTTATTTGTTTATTTATATCATTTCGTTGTATTTCAATTTATTCATTTTTTACCCACCTTTGCTTATTTTCTTCTTTTTTCTTTCTTTCAATTTCTTGTATCTCTTCTCTTTATTCTTTCTTTCCTTTCCTTTCTTTCATTCTTCTCTCTTATTCTTTCTCTCATATTTATATATATATATCTAACCAGGTCTGTTCCCATCTATCTATCTATCTATCTATCTATCTATCTATGATCTTTTTTCTATCTTTCTCTCTGTTTTTATTTCTTTCTATTTTTCTTTCTTTTGTTTATTATATTTTCCACTCGTTTTATTCCCGCCTTTTTTATACAAAGAAATGTCTTCCATTTTCTAACGTTACAATTATTAAAGAAAAAAGAAATAATCGGAAAATTTTCAAGGGAAAATTAAGTTCAGCTCACATTCTATAGACTCAGCCGGTTTTACGGTATTTAATTTGCATCTCCGACATTACAACAGTCATTAGAGAGTTCATTATTCAAATGTCGTCCTTTTCCAAAAAAATTTTTGGCTATTATCGTTCACTTGTTTTCTTTTTCACAGTTATTGCGATCATCCTATTGGCAAATTTTTATTTTGATAAGAAAAACGATATTTAATAACGATATTATTGAGCATTATGATGATGATGATGACGATAGGGAGGGGGAGGGAGAGAAGAACGATTATAATGAGGCTAGTGATCACAATAACAACATGAATAAAACTAATAATTGTTATATCATTTAGAGTAATAAGAAGTACAAAATTAGAAAAGTACAAAAACGTAATTGTTATTGATGAGAAAAGGATAAAGGTGATTATAGAAGAAGAAGAAGAAGAAGAAAAAGAACAACAACAACAACGAAGAAGAGGAGGAGGATGAAGAGGAGGAGGAGGAGGGGAGGAGGAGGAGCAGGAGGAGGAGGAAAAGTTCTCGGATCGTACAAGATTTCTGGGCCGGGCTGATAATTTTTCTCCCCTCGGATTAAATTTCACTCGGTGGAGTAATGGATAGCGGCTCATGAAATAAAGTGAGCCGAGTTCGAATTCAGTCGAATCCAAAACATTCAAAGATGCCTAATACCCTTGGGAAGGGTATGAATCTTCTTCTTCTCCCTAACAAGGGTAAATAACAGGACAGACCAGGTTCTATAGCCTTTGATGGCAACTTGTCAACTTGAAAAGATACATGATCGAAAAAAAAATGTATCAAATTCGTTTTAACTTACTGACTGACGTGCTAATTTTAATTGGGAAAGGTATGAATATTCTTCATATATATAAAAATATATTAAAGGGTAAAAGAAATTATGAAATAGGTTCTATAATTTGGATGGCAAACAATAAAATAATTTAGAAAAAAATGGCAATTAAATTTCGGGAAAAAAATATTCTTTGAAATCAGTGAAATTTTCATTTATAAAAAAGATACAAAATCTTTTTAAGTTGTCTTATCATTTTATATAGAAATAACATTTGACACTTGACATTGATACAAAGTAAAGAATATTCGTGAAAACACAGATCCTTTTAAGACCACAGCTTTATAGACGATGATATTTCTGTTTTTTTTATAAAGATTTGAGAAACTTATTTCAAAACTTTCAGTTCCCATCAAATATGGAAAATATGTTATAATGATTTGAAAAACAACTCCATGATTAATGAGAAAAAGGGACAATATTAATCATGAGAAGAAAATCAATATTAGCAAGACATTAAGAATTAATAACTATGAAGAATTAATAATAATGAGGAAAATATTTTATTATTAATAATAATGATAATGAACTCAAAATGATAATATTTTTCTCCCTGATTGCATTGAACAACTGTTTGAATTTTCTGATACAAATTTTGTTAATGTCTTTTTCGTTATTTATTTTTGTTTGAGGGCAGAAATTTCTGAACAAAAAGGAAAAATATATCCTTTTATAATAATAATAATAATAATAATAATAATAATAAATTCATATAATGAAAATATTAATTAGTATTAAAAGGTAATTACTTAAAAATATAGGAATAAAGCTTAGTATCCCGCCACTTCAGAAGTTTGTGTTGCTTTTAGAAACTAGATGCCAAAGTTCTAATTTGAAATTTTAATTATTTTGTGACTTGAAAAGAATTTTTATGGATACATATATTTTTTGAAAACGAAAAACCTTGAGAAAGAGAAGATAATACAAAATAATAATAATAATAAATCGAAATATCAAAATTGTGAGGACATCAACAATCCCTGTTGTAGTTGGAGCCCTCGGATTGAATGGAAAAGATTCCAGTAGACTAATTGAAAGGATTCCTGGAAGGCCATGCCTTAAAGAAATAAGAAAAAAATTTGTTCTCACGAATACTACCCACACGTTACGAAGGGCTTTATCTATGGAAAATATGTGTGTTTTTTTAATTGCTCAGTGGAAAATGCCATGTTGCTATTTCTGACCTTAGGTCTCTTGTTGGGATCTGGAAAGAAATGAGTACAAAGCAGAAATCAAATACAATAATAACAGTAATAATAATAATAACAATAATAATAATAATAATAATAACTATAATATTAATAACAATAATAATAATAAGTTGATAGGAGAATTCATTCTCAATAAAACAATGTTTGGCTTCAGTCTAAATGAGAAATGGCATAAATAATAAAATGAGACAATTATGTGAGAAAACAACAATCAAAAATATTATTTCTTGCTGTAACAGATACCATTATTGAAATACGGAGACAGGATTATATCGTTATCTAATTTACGGAGAAAGTTTTATTTTTCCATTCAATCCAATACGGCAACAAAGAAAACATTTGAAATGAACATGCAAATCAATTATTACAGATTATTATTATTATTAAAATTATTATTAATTTTAAAAATAATAATAATAAAAATAATAATAATAATAAATTTTAATGGACGATATTAACGTGGAAGTGCTGTAGTGTTCTATCGACAAAATAAAATATTTCAACATCTATCTGCAAACATATTTGTGTTTGTATGCATTTTTTCAATGCCCATATTACCTAAAAAAATTCTATTCCCACCATACCACAAATATTTAAAAATGCCAACCATCCTTTAAATTCTTTTCATAATGTGACCAACCATAAAAAATGGCTTCAATGCCCACCATACCAAATAATTTTCAATTATGTATATAACCGGTTTTCTTAAATTTCTATAACAGACTTTCCTCGCATACAAACACTTAACATTTCAATCTCTCTATCTCTCACACATGTGGTTGACTTTCCTACGCGTTTCCCCAGCATCCATGAATAGTAAGGCTAACTTTCTTGATCTCTGTTTTCCCCTCCCTGGTACGTCTTGTCTTTGAAATGCAGCTCTGCCCTCTTGGCAACTCTGATCATGTCGTTGAATTTCTATAATCCGAATTTTCCAATCCTCCTCCTCCTCCTCTTCCACTGAAAATTCCTTCAGTGAAGATTTTTTAACCAACAGAACATCTTTCTAGCAGATTGGGATTCATGGTTTGATTTTCTTTAAAATGTCCCCTGGAATACTGTCTTTTCCCAGTTCAAAAATGATGCGTCTGATGCCTCATCTCAATTAAAAACTGAATCGAGGCTTTCATCCCTTGGATAAAAATATAAAGTGAAATCGCATTCATTCATTTGGTTCTCAGCTGCTTGTTCAGCAGCCATTTGCCCAAAAGAAAAACTACTTCCGTCTATACCGTAGAGACATGTCTGATTACAACAGGTGTCTCTTTGTCATAAAATAATAATGAGTGCAAGAATTTTTCCTCAAAGAAGCAAAGTTACTCTTTGATGAAAGAATGAATCAACGTATTGCGTCACGCAAGTTTGGTTGAAAAGATTATTGGCGGCTCTTCAAAAGCGGCCTGAACATCAGCAAACCCATAATACCCACTTTTATTCACCCAATTTGAGGTCCAGGCCTCCTCAGCTGATAAGGCTGAATGCTTTACTCGTAATTTGTCATCCAATTCAACGCTAGACTCATCTGGTGTACCCACACCCGATTTCTCCCCTAGAACTGAGGCTCTACTGAGTGAGATGCACATAACCCCAACGATGGTATATGACATCATCGCTAAATTAGACTCTCATAAGGCTAGTCGTCGGAACGGGATACCGGCCATTGTCCTGAAGAAATGTGATCCTGAATTGGCTCCTGTCCTCTCTAAACTTTACAACTACTGCCTCACCGACTCTTGCTTTCCAGCCTGTTGGAAGTTCTCATTTGTTGTGCATATGTTTAAGAACTCTGGTGACCCTTGTGACTCGTCTAACTACCGTCCTATCAGTCTCCTACCAATTTTCGGTAAAGTCTTCGAGGCTTTAATCATCGCCGAAGTGGTTAAGCACCTTACTTCACATAATCTGCTCTCCGACAAGCAATATGGTTTCTGTTTTGCCCGATCTACTGCTGACGTGCTCGCGGCCATAACTGAATTTGTATACCAGACACTCAACAATAACGGAGAAGCTCGAACCGTGGCTCTAGACATTTCTAAACCGTTTGATAGAGTTTGGCATGCTGGCCTTCTTCGTAAACCTCAGGGATACAGTATTACAGGATGATTATTTGACTTAATACAATCATTCCTGTCAGACCGTGAAATGAAGGTCGTCCTAAACGGGTTCTCCGCCGGCTCCTTTATTCTTTGCTGTTCCCCAAGGCTCTATATTGGGCCCTACACGTTTCCTGATCTTCATCAATGAGCTTCATGGTGTCATCAGTCCCAAAATTGACATCTACGCTGACGATATCACTATTTACTGCCTCAATAGTAAATCATCGTTGATAAAACTAACCTGGCTGCTGATCTCGAAAAGGACCTCCAATCTGTGGTTGACTGGGGCAGGAAATGGCTTGTAAACTTTAATGCCTCCAAAACGAAACTGCTCTCCTTTACCCACCACAGAGAACCCTCCCTGCCTCCCATCAGAATGGCTGATGCCCAACTCTCCAGAGAGCGCCTCGTTACGCCTGCTTGGTCTCACACTGTCCACTGACATGAGGTGGAATAAATACATTGAATCAATAGCTTCATCTACTGCAAGGAAAGTTGGTTCTCTGTGTCGTGCCAGAAAGTTTTTCTCGTCTGAGTCCATCCTTCAAATCTATAAATCAACCATCCGTCCTTGCATGGAATATTGCTGTCATATATGGTCTGGTGCTTCCGCTGTACGTCTCAAGGTCCTCGGTAAAATCCAGAGAAGAATATGCAAGATGATAGGTCCTGATCTGGCTTCTAGTCTACAATCGCTATTCCACAAACGTGCCATGGCCTTCCTCTGTCTCTTCTACAATTATTTTCACGGTAACAGTTCCGACAAGCTTCTTTCGCTGAATA